ACCTCCAGGTGGCCCTTTGTGGCGGGGGGACCTCCCCAAGAAGGGGGCCGACACCGGGCTGAGGGTGCTGGGGGGCCCACTTAACCCAGAGCCACGCGGATGCTAGATGATCTCCCCCTCACCCCTCACCCTGTGTGTGTACGGCCCCTCTTTGACCTGTGTGTACGGCCCTTGTGGCCTGAACCCCCAAGTAACGACTCCCCTTCCTGTACCGTCGTACTGCGCGGCGTGTCCTAGGGAAACCCAGCGGCTTTAAATGGGGCCCCGAAATGGTGGTGGGTGTGGTGGGGTGATGGGATGGTGCGTGTATGTATGTAATGTATATGGGGGGGCCGGAGGGGACGGCCTCTGCAGACCTGAGCTACAAGAGGGGAGTTGGGAGTTGGGAGTTGTGGGAAGGGGCCACCATGCAGCCCCTGCTGGTCCCCGGACACCGTCCCTGACCACACCAGTGTTTTCAAAACGTTTTTACCGTGGTAATTCTTTCCCCCGCTACCCCCCAGGGAAATGGTAATTCTTTCGTGACCAAGTGGTTACTGTGCGGGGGGTTTTCCTTTCTAGGTAACCACCTTGCACAGGTTCTTCCCAGCGAGTATGCGGAACTGGAGCCCACTAGAACTGTACATCCAAAGATCCAACTTTGACTCTATGTACGGCTCACTGAAGCATCACTGCTCCCATCTAAGCGTCAAAAACATTTCTAGGTGGTCACTACCACTGCGGGGGTCTGTGGCCCCCAATATCCTTGCGACCACCTGGTTACTGGCAGGTGACTCGAAACATTTCCTAGTGACCACCTTCTGGAAGGGAATTATTTTCCCAGTAACCACTTGGCCCCTAGTAACCACTTTTAAAAACACTGGACCACACCCCTCCCACTCCCCGACCCGTACATACCCGAGTTGGAGGGTACGGCACCTCGCTCCACGTCATGTTGTCTACGACACAGCCGTACCCCGCCGCCACCCCAGCCGCCATTTGCTCCACACGGTGGTGCAGGCGGGCGAAGGTGTCGGCCGTAAGAGCCCGTACAGTGCCGGACAGGTGTACGGCGTCGGGGATGACGTTGGACGCGCCCGGACCGGTGTTGAACCTGCGGGGGCGGGAGTGGGGGCAGGGGCGGGAGTGCCGGAAAAGCTGGACGTCAGCACACAACTATGATTACTCAGTTGCAGCGGCTGGGTCAAGACACGCGCGCACTAACAGACAGACAGACAGGCACGGCAGACAAACACGACACGACACGACAGACACGCCACAAAACTGACATCAAATCACCCCTTACTGTGTTTTCCCTTTCCCCTCCCCCTTCCCCTCCCCCTTTCCTCTCCCCCCCCTTTACCTGGCCACCGTCACCACCGCCGAGTCCACGGGTGACGTCTCTCGCGCCACCAGCGCCTGCAGCGCCACCACCACCGCCGCCGCAGCCACCACGGGGTCCCGGGCCGTGTGGGGTATGGCACCGTGACCCCCCACACCCCGCACCGTAAAGGAGAACCGGTCGGAGGCCGCCAGCAGCACACCGCCACGAGTGCCGATCACACCTGCAGGTGGGGGGAAAGAGGAGGAGAGGAGAGGAGAGGAGGGGGTGTTGGTGCCAAGCGAGGCTGTACGGCAGGGCTGTGTCAAAATCGAACTGAGGCCCTAGCGGCGTTGCGTCCAAGGTGCCGCAGCCGTCCTCATGAGTACCCATCTGATGCATCACTAACTATAACTGTATCCTGACGTGCCCGTAAGAAAGTGTGCGTACAGTACGACAGGAGGGCGAAGGCGCTGGTGTCTGTCCCCAGACCCCCCCCCCGCTTGTGACGTGTCGTTTGCCCCTTTCCACCCCGCCATAATCCCAACCCTCGCTTCCCCCTCACCTGCCGGCAATGCTGGCCACACATGCAGCCCGTGTATTGCCCCCACCCCCCTGACAGCCCCCCCTCGTATCATCTCCCGCGCTCCCCCCATCCCCTCCTCAGCCGGCTGGAACAGCAGCACCACTCGACCCCCCAGAGCCGCCAGGGAAGTCTCCCGTGACTTGAGCAACCTGAGGGGGGAGGGGTTGGGGGAAGGGGGGGGGAGAGGGGAAGTTACCGATAACGAGGGAGGCACACAAAACCCCTGGAGCCCCTCTGCTCCAGGGCCCAGATGGCGGGGGTGGGGGGTTACACAGCAGCAGCACAGCAGCAGCAGCAGCAGCAGCACAGGGCCAGATGCTAACCTCCACCAACAACCCAACTGACGACTCTGAAACTAGGAGGACACAGGGAAACCCTCTCTCTCCCAAAACCATCCAAGGCCCTCAAGCCTCAACCACTCACTTGGCAGCACCCAGCAGCATCGCCATATGGGCATCGTGACCGCATGCGTGCATGCGACCAGGTGTCTTACTTTTGTACAGCACATCGTCTTCCTCGGTTATCGGCAGGCCATCCATGTCGGCTCTCAATGCAATGGTTGGGGCGTCCTCGTCGGTGCTGCCTGAGGAAATAGTGTAATTATGGGTCACGAGGTTGGGCTCTAGGTGAAGGAGGTCTGTGTTAATTGTCGCCCGCCTTTAAAACCTATGCAGTAGCGCTAGCATCTTGTTCGACACCGTCCACATGGAAGATAGGACCTTGTTGCCCTTAATCCAATATAAATTGCTTCATCGTGACCTAATGGCATGCTGCGTTTGGCCCTGTCCTGTGAACTTCGGTGCGCACCAAACCAAGCAACTACACAGCTCACCAAGTGGCCCAGCACGAATTCCTGTGCCAGCAATAGGATACTCATACGGGATGCCAAGTTGATCGAGCTGTGCACGTATATATTGAGATGTGTTGAATTCTGAGAAATACAATTCTGGCATCGTATGCAGCTCCCGTCGCCATTTCAACAAGCTGTCAAATATTTCAGGACTATTTGATTCTTCCAGGTAAGACGCATATGCTTGGCCATGCGCAATGCACGAGTACTGTGCACAGAGCACCCAGATGAGGAGCACACTAACTGTAGATACTTGCATCGCAGTAAAGAAACTCCAAGGACACGATGATTTGAAATGTATGCACATAAACCATCCCGGAAGTCTACCGAGATAGAATCCAACTGATCGTCTCGCTGTGCGCGATCACAATTCCACAACGACCTAAGAACGCAACAAGGGCCTTACTACTAGACAGGGCTTTCCTACTCACCAGCCATATACACAGAACTCGTTATTTATTACTTTATATGTGCCTCTCAAACAGCTCGAATCGTTGGCCTTCGGTGTAGCGCAAGCATATTGCTTGCGGCAGCCCCGAACACTCAACCAAAAGCGATCCACCCTGCAAGCTTCCGCCTTCAAATAGCAGTAAGAGTCCTGCACCAGTCACTTTTAAAATTTTAGCTGAAATAAGCTCTTCACGATACGTTGTCGCTCGTCCACCGGCTTGACATCATCGTCGCGCACACGCCATACCCCATGTCTTCCATACCGTACAGGAATATGGCTCTCATGCAAACGACCCAGCTTCCTTCCAGATCTTCCCACCTGCCGACCGCAAAGTGGGGCACAGCAGCTCGCGGCCCGCGGCCCTTTTGCTCGGGAGGTGCGCCCGCTACCTCCTTTCGCCCTCGATCCCACCGTCCCACGACCGCATCCGCACTGCCCGCCGACGGTCAGGCGGATGTCGTCATAGTGGGAGCGGGTGTAGCGGGCCTCAGCTGCGCGGTGACTCTGGCCCAGCGCGGTGTGAAGCCGATTGTGCTGGAGGCGAGTGACGGAGTGGGCGGGCGGGTGCGGACCGATGTGGTGGATGGCTTCCTGCTGGACCGCGGCTTCCAGATCTTTCTGACGGGTGAGGAAAGGGAGGGAGTGTGGCTGTGAGGGGTTCGAGCCGAGCCGGGGAGAGGGTGGGTTGTGGGCCCAGACGTGCGGCGCTCGTGTGTGTGCAAGTATTAGCTGGCGTCATAGCGGGTTGGGGTTGTGGCAGCCTCACTAGCCGTACCCTGCCGTACCCCACTTCACCCGCCGTTAATGAATGGATGAATAAATGGATCCCGCCCTTCGGAGACGCGAGCATGAAGAGCTGTTGGACATACATGGCAGTACGATAATCATAATCATCATCGTAATCACCACCATGATGACGCCAATTCCCCTCCGTCCCCACGCGGAGGGGATCACTACTCCCTCTTCCCTATCACTACTCCCTCTTCCCTCCCCCCTCTCCCCCACCCCCGCCCCCCCCTCGCAGGCTACCCCGAGGCCCAGTCCTCCCTGGACTACTCGGCTCTGCAGCTGCGGCCCTTCTATGCGGGGGCCCTGGTCTGGCAGGGCGGCTCCTTCCACCGGGTGGCCGACCCGCTGCGGCACCCGCTGGACGGCCTGGCCTCGCTCACCAACCCGGTGGGCTCGCCGCTGGATAAGGTCCGGGTGGGGCTGTTTAGGTGAGGTGGAGGGCGGGGAAGGGGGAGCGGGAGAGAGGGAAAAGGGGGTTGGGGCTGCGGGTGTTGGAGCTCAGCCATCCCACTGGGCAGGTGGGTAGGTGATATGATTTTATGAATTCCCCCACAACCAAAACCCTGTCGCTCGCTCTTTCCCCCCACCCAAACCCCACGCCTGAAGGCTGAAGAGCTTGTTGGGCAGTTTGGACGAGCTGCTGGCCCGCCCCGAAACCACCACTGCGGAGCGACTCAAGGTGGGGCTGCGGAGGGAAGTGGGGGGGGAGGGAGGGAGGTGGGAGGCAGGTGGGAGGGAGGGAGGGAGGCCCCATAAGGCGCCAATAAGGATCAGGCAGGGTGCGGGGGCAGGGGGCTCCCGGTGGAGGTGACGAACTCCCCTAAGTACTTACGACACACACTGTACTGCACACGTGGTGACATGGCCTGTCCCAACGCCCTCTCGCTAACGCCACCCATGTACCCCATACACCCACATACCGAACCACCGGCTTACCTGCCAACTGCCAACCGCTAACTGCCAACCCACCCGCAATCCTCCCCTACCAGGCCGAGGGCTTCACGGACGCCATCATCCTGCGCTTCTTTCGCCCCTTCCTGGGCGGCATCTTCTTCGACCGGCAGCTGCGCACCTCCTCGCGCCTGTTCGAGTTCGTGATGCGCATGTTGGCCACGGGCTCCAACTGCCTACCGGCGGGGGGTATCGGGGCGGTGGCGGAGCAGCTCGCGGGCAAACTGCCGCAGGGCGCCATCACACTGAGTGGGTGGTACTGGGGGACGGGAGGGAAAGGGAAGTGGGGGAGGGAAGCGGGGGAGGGGGAGGGGAGGACCCGTCCGCACTCCGCAAGCCTACCCATGCGGCCAGCGCCCTACTGCGCATGGAGCCACACAGCATCACAGCGACGTGGTGGCCTCAGCACCCCGGCCCGCCCGGCCCCCTACCAGTGCCAACCCCTTTCCCCCATCCCGCCCTGTTCCCGTGTTCAGACGCGCGGGCTGATGCCGTACGCGGTCGTGAGGTGACCCTGGCTGACGGCACCAAGCTGACGGCTCGGCGGGGGGTGGTAGTGGCGGTGGAGGGTCCGGAAGCCGGCCGCATACTGGGGGGCGCTCTCCAGGTGGGTGGGTGGGTTGGGGGAGGCGGCTAGGGCGGTTCCCGCGCCTGGGGCCCTGACCCGCCTTTCCCGTCCGGCTAGCCCTACTCCCGGCCCCCTACTCCTGGGGCCCTGCCCGTGTCGGGTGGGTGGGTTGGGTCTGCTAAGGACTTCCGCTGGACACCACTTCCTATCACCCCCACCCTCACCCCCACCCGCACCCGCATCCCCACCCTCATCCCGCAGTCCTCTCCCAGCAAGCCTGAGCCGGGCGTGGGCACCTGCTGTGTGTATTTCCGGGCTCCGAAACCCCCCTCCTCCGAGAACATTCTCTACCTCAACGGGGAGGATGACGGCATCGTCAACAACTGCTGCTTTCCATCCACCGTGGCGCCGTCGTACGCACCTCCTGGTCAGGTGGGTAGGACCGTACGGCGGGCGCCTCATCCTGATCATGATAATCCGAATGCCGGGAGAGGGGGGGGGGTGATGAATTGAGGGGAAAGAGAGAGAGAGAGAGAGAGAGAGAGAGAGAGAGAGAGAGAGAGAGAGGGAGGGAGCGACAGGCACCGAAGCTCAGCCCTTAATATGGCGGAGTCCAGCAACCAATCAACTAACCAATCAACTAACCAATCAACTAATCAGCCCTCAACCTCCTTCCTCCCTGGAGTCTAGGCCCTCGTGTCCGTATCCACGGTGGGCACACACCCCGAGCTGAGTGATGAGGCCCTGCAGGAGGCTGTACGGCAGCAGTTATCCCGGTGGTTCGGGGCGGCGGAGGTGGCCACGTGGTCCCACCTGCGCACCTACCGCATCCCATTTGCACAACCTAACCAGGTACCGGAGGGGATTGGGGGGGAAGGGGAGGGGAGGGGAGGGGAGGGGAGGGGAGGAGGGGGACAAGGGGAAGAGGGGGCCCCTACCACTAGCGACTGTATACCTCCCCCTCGCCTACCTCTACCCCTTTCTACCTGCACCCTCACCATGCTGCGGTCCATCTCACCTCACCTGCCCTTGCGGTGTACCTGTATCTTGGTAGTCCTCTCCCCTTAGTGCATACCTCTGCGCTCGCAGTCCACATCCATGGTGTACCACTCCGTCACCCTGCTGCGGGTGCTGCTGCTCGGCATTCGCTGGTCTCCGCCACCTCTTTGCCACCTCACACTGTGTTTTCTCCCCCGCCCTCTCCCCCTCAGGCCCCGCCCACCAACTTCAGCCGGCCCGTGTCCCTGGGTGGTGGTGTGTTCGTGTGCGGTGACCACCGTGACAGCGCCACGCTGGAGGGCGCCCTCAGGTCGGGGCGCAGGGCTGCAGAGGCGGTACTCATGAAGCAGTGAGGCACTGGGATGATACAATAGTAGCGGTAATGCGACGGTGAAAGTGGGGGTAGTGGGGGTAGTGGTGGAAGTGGAAGCGGGCGGGGCGCTCTTGAGTACGGGGGTTCGGGTGGGGAGTGCAATACACAGTGCGGCCCCCTCTAGCTATAAGACTATGAAAGCTGTACGGGGCAGGTGGGAGTGGAGGTGGATTCTTGTGTGCCGTGAGGTGGGTTGCCCCGCCGGGGAGGCAGGTTGGGGAGGAAAGGTCGGGTGGCGCGTGTGGCGGTTGTTAACTGGTTGTTTGGCAGTAGTAGTACGTTTGTTTTTCGGTCAGTACCAGTTCGTCATCAAGTGTTTCCTGCTCTCATTATGAGATTTTATGCATTTGTGGTGGTGATGATGCTTGGTCTGAAGTACGGTATCGGCTTGTGTTGATTAACTCCCTCGATGACCTCCTTGGCAAGTCGGACAAATTGCGAAAATGGAAGGTTTGCTACCAGGCGAGCTTAGCCCAGTCAACCGGGTGGGCCTCAACTTGCCTGACGACGTGTTCCGCTGCTTCGGCTGCACACAGCCCGCTTGCCAGGTTCAAATCCACGCCCATGTCAAGATGTCGGTGCCAGACCAAACTCCATGCAACTGCGTCCTTTTCCCCCAACGCCAAGCGAACCCCCAAGACCTTTCACACGTTCCACGCCTTTTCTTATAGCATAAACGCCGCAGCGCAGGGATGCTAGATGCTACGCTGCCCCGAGCACAACTAGTGATCCAACACTGTCCGGCAAAGGCGCGCTGCTGTAGCCGGCCCTGCTACTATCCCAATAACGTACAGCACCCTTCACGGCATCCTCTTTCACCAACGTCGAATTATAGCTGCTGGGCTCCGAAAAAACTTTTTACCGTTGCCTTTCCGCACAGCTTCCCGCGCCAGACCTTGGATTCGGACATTGGTTTTTGCCTCACAGCACGACAGAGCGGCTCTGCTGAAACACACCACCTCACTCCCGCTGCGCCCACCGATACCCATGGAAGCTACCCATGGAAGCCAGTAGACCCCTAGCATCTAGGATTGTTAAGTCGGTTAGGGCCACTCGCTCAATATCTCACATGCATGCAAGGGGATGGGGTGTTTACTGGGTTGCTGTCCCCCCTGGTGTTTGCTTCCGAACCAGCCTCTCGTGCCTTGCCTTAGGTGTGAGCCTTAAACGCACATACCTACATGCCCTTGGGCCTTCGGCTCGTATGGGTAGTTTTACAGGTATGGGGTCACGCACCCCCAAACCATGTAACACACACATACATACAATAAAAACAAATACATACATACGTACGTACGAATATACAGACGCGCAGGCGCTCTGCCCCCGTCGGGTCGTTTGCCCTGACGGCAAGGAATGTCAACTGTTTTGCCTGGGTCGCATCAGCAACCAGCTACGGATGTGACCCACATGGGAACTATGTCGTAAACCTCTACAGCCGATAATCCACGGACAACATTGCAGCAGCGAAAGACAATTCCGAGGATATGATAATGGCTGAAAGAACTTGCCGCTTCGTACGAATCCGGCCTTTCAGTCTGTCAACCGTAATAACCAACTTCCGTACATCGTTAATATCACATCACAGCATCACTTGATGACATCATCGCAATATGCGTCAGTAACCTTGCGATGGCAGCCGTGATGAAAATACCAACGGTGAATTATTAACAAACGCTTTTGAGTATTTCACTTCCCCTGCACACGCGCGTGCCGTACACACAGGGCCCGGAAGGCTGTGCCGCCAACAAGTGGCGCTTCGCGCCGGACGGCTACCTTCGGGAGATCCTGACGGCACGAGTGTACGATGTCGCGGTACGAATTTGATACATTGGTATGGAAATACGAGAGGGGCGGACAGGGAAATGGTTTTTTTCCTATCATATAAAATTTCCCCTCCTTCCTTTCCTCGTCTTCTTCCCCCCACATACACAAAAAACAGAGTTCATTTCTTGTTTTTTGTCATATGCTCTCCAACCCACCCACGCACCTTCAACTCAGATCCAGTCCCCCCTGGAGAAGGCGCAAAAGCTGAGTGAGGCGGTTGGCAACACCGTTCTACTCAAGAGGGAGGACCTGCAGCCCGTGTTTTCGTTTAAATTGAGGGGTAGGTGGATTGGGGCAGGGGGGTTGGAGCGGGGCGGGGCGGACGGAAAATTTTCGTTAGAAAAGAGTTTGGGGAGGGGTGGGGTTTGAAATGGTTTGCTCGTTGTTTGATGGAGAGATGGTTTGCTCGTTGTTTGATGGAGGGATAGGTTGCTCATTGTTTGATAGAAGTTAGGGTTTGGGAGCGGTGAAAGGTGGTGAGGTGGAGGGATGTAGGGTGGAGAGGGGTGCGGATGGGGCTTCGGAGTGTGTGGGCCCCGGGGCTGGCCCAGGAGATGACAGGAAAAGATACCACCGGCTTTCTCACACACACATACATACATACATACATACATACATACATGCCCTAGCTGAGACTTGTGGACTCGCTCTGGATATGGCTACTTCTCCCCTGGACCAGCCCAGGAAGGGACAGGTAGAGGGGGTCAGTTGTTGTAAGGTGGTTGCAAGACGTCTTGTGGTGTCGAGCTCTCTTAGCCTTTCTTTCTTGGAGGTCTTTCTTTTTTGGCTTGTTAGATGTATCAGGAGCCCTCCCCTGCCGGGACTGCCCTAACCGTATTTTTATTTTCTGTTTTTTTCCCTTGCAATCCCATTGTCGTTGGTGGTGTTTTTGGGGGGGTGTTTCAGAGAGCCTTTGACTTTGCCCTAGCTGAGACTTGTGGACTCGCTCTAGCGGGACCTGAGAGCCCTTCGTGGTGTTTTCACTGCAGCGCCATCCCCGGATGGAGGGGCTGCAGAGTGGCTGTGTAGAGTGTTGGCAGTCTGAGATAGGGTCGGGAGCACACGAGACTAACCGACTTGCTGTGTGCTCCCGACCCTTGTGCTGGGTTTCGGCTTCGGCCCCCGGCTCTAGCAGCCCACAGTGTAATCTACCAGGAGGCATGGGTCCGGGTGCAGAGGCTGGGGCTGCAGGGCGAGGTGCAGATGAGTAGGCCGCCAACGGATCACTGCCGTAGGGGAGAGGAGAGAGGGGAGACCCGGTAGGGAAGATGAACAGATTAAGGGGGAGGTAAGCAGTCCTGGACATATCAGGGGAAGAGGGGAGGCAAATGGAGTCGGTAGAGAGTGTGTAGAAAAGAAAGAGGACTCATAGCTGTTCCTGGCAATCGCGGAGGACGAGGGGGGCGGGCGAGGGGCAAGATGACACAGCGGCGGGGTCCAACAGGTTGCCATCTGATTAGCAGCTGGGCAGCCTAAATACGGAAAAACCGCAGGGCCATGCTTGCCTGCTGTTGGGGGTGGGCAACACATATCATGCTCAGCAGCATTGGAAAGCTATTGGAGCAAGTGTCGGTGGCCAGCACGAAAGACGTGTGTCACACTCCATGCAGCAAACTTTGCGGCCAAAGTGGCATGCAATGTCACCGAGGCCTCCGATGGCCTGTGCGTGCTGGGTGTTGGCAGCTAGCTGCGAAAGCTTGATTTCTAGGGTGAGTGCGAGACATAGAACCAGAGGTTGGCAAAAAGGGCGGGTACTGCAGTGCCGTACCACAGTACCCTGCAGCCGAAATTCGGCTTAAGGCCCTGACTGCGGGTCTCTCATGACCAAAATTTGACAAAAAGACGTGATTTGCAGCCTCGATTGCGGCCCGTAGGGCTGCATGCTGAATTTGAACTCTGTGTTTGACTTTGAATTTTTTTTAGGTTGTCGTTAGGTAGGTCGTTAGGTTAGTCGTTGGTCTGCAAACCACCTAGTCGTATTCAAAGTGACCATTGTAAGATTCCTATTTATTTATTTATTTATTTATTTATTTATTCATGCTATGCTTGCGTCATGAGCCTAAATCACGTCATTGTTCGTGAAAATACCAGAGCTG